ATACAGAGGCAAGAGGAAAGAGTGAAGTTAGGGTTCTTCAAGAGAATCGAACATACTCTAATAAGTCTCAATCATTTATTAGTTTTATTTTTATACAAAACTTTATAAAACATTAAAGTAAAATACAATAAAATTTAGCATTAAAAACAAAACAATTTTTTTTTATTGTTTTCTTTAATTAATTTTCCTTTTTATTTCTTCTAAATACATATTTTTATTATATTTTAATATTTAGAAAAAAATTAGTTGTAGCAAAAAAATTATAATTAATGAATGATTGAAATTTAAGATAAATAAACTATTGTGTTTTCTTTTTGGTTAGTAATTTAACTCTAATTTGATAGAAAAAGCTATTTATAAAAAAAAGGATAAACTTTACAGATCAAATGGATTGAAGATAAATTCGAAGGTTCCTCTGTTTGCAAAAAAAAAGGTGAAGTTTAAAGATAAATGAAAATGAAATTCAAGTTCATGATGTTTATTTGCAGAAGAATCAAGGATTGATTTGGACAAGTTTTAAGTTTAGGATGTTTGTTTGTGAAAGGGATAAAATTTAGGAGATTGAGTACTTTTCCCCTATTTAACATGTAAATACTCCTAACTTTGTGTCCTAAACTGTCAACATGACAATTACTATTCAACTTATTCTTATAATATATAATTGCTAATGACAATTATAATTACAAATATCTTAATATGTTATTGCTCCTACTTTATGCCAATAATTGACATAACTTTCCTTAACTATTTTACTTTCCATCTTATGTGCACCACCATGTTTTTCTTTTTGCACTTAGATGAAACTGTTTTGACAAGTATATTCTAGAGGACATGATTGTTGACTTTATTAAATTTGTGCTTGTGAAATTTCTTAACAATTGGATAATCTGCTTTATGACTCTGAAACTTCTCTAAATATATATATATATACATGATATTGCCAACAACTAATGTGTAACTTGTGGGTTTTATTCTTTTGGCTTAAAAGGGAACCGAAACAATTGAAGTAATCATGCTACATTTGCCAAAGAGTAAGGATGTTCGATGGAATGGAAGTGAGCTCAAGAAGATGACAAACCTAAAGATACTAACTATTGAAAATGCTTACTTTTCTAGAGGCCCTGAACATCTCCCAAATAGTTTGAGAGTACTAAAATGGTGGGGATATCCTTCACAGTCTCTGCCACCTGAATTTGATCCAAAGAGACTTGTTATGGTAGATTTGTCTATGAGTTGCAATTTCTTGGGCAAACAACTCGAACACATGGTATGTACAATTGATATCTTTGTTGAAATATTTTGTTTGTCTTATATATTTATATTTATAAACTGTATTTGAAAATTTCCAAGAGTAATTATTTTTAGTTTTGGCTTACCAGAAGTTCGAGTCTTTGAGTGAAATGGTTTTAAGAGGTTGCAGATTCATGAAAAAGGTACCTGACATGTCTGGAGCCCAAAATTTAATGAAGCTTTGTCTTGATCATTGTAAGAATTTAGTAGAGGTTCATGATTCCGTTGGGCTTCTTGATAAACTTACACGGTTCACTGCTATTGGATGCACCAATCTAAGGTTTCTTCCTCACAACTTCAAGCTAACATCACTTGAACATCTGTCTCTCAGAAAATGCTCAAGCCTCCACTATTTGCCAAATATATTAGAAGACATGGAACATATAAAAAATCTTGATCTGTGTGGTACTGCTATCGAAGAATTACCATTTTCGTTTAGGAAACTCACTGGACTTAAATATTTAGTGCTGGACAAGTGCAAGAAGCTTTATCAGATCCCAATAAGTATTTTGATGTTACCAAAACTTGAGAGATTGACAGCTGTAAAATGTGGACGGCATGTAAATTTAATCCTTGGTAAAAATGAATTGGCTTCATCCAAGCCTTTGATGAAAGATGTTAGATTAAGCTACAATGATTTGACACCTGTCAGCCACTCCAATGTTGAATTCTTAGACCTAACTGCCAGTGCGTTCAAAGTCCTTCCTGAATGCATTAGCCAGTGTCGCTTTCTAAAGTATCTAGTTATGGACAATTGCAAGAAGCTTCAAGAAATCAGAGGGGTTCCTCCAAAGATAAAATATCTCTCGGCAATAAACTGTACATCACTGAATCACATGTCTCAAAGCATGTTATTGAATCAGGTAAGGTTTCTTACTCTTGGTAAATCTCACAAACTCAGTTGTCAAGTAATGCTTTTAACTGTTAAAACCAATGATGCTTTCTCTATATATTTTGGCTAACGCCTAACAGAGATTACATGAGGGTGGGGGCACAGATTTTTCCCTTCCAGGAACAAGGATACCAGAATGGTTCGACCATTGTGTTGTGGGACCATCCCTGTCTTTCTGGTTTCGTCACAAATTTCCAAAGATGGCTCTAGCTGTTGTTGGAGTTTTGGACCAACAGGGCAGTTTTCCCACTTCAAGATTCCACTTGGTCATCAATTCTATTCAAAAGCTGCATTGCAATTTCACTGTGCAATCAAAACTAATCACATATCATATATTTTTGTCCGATGTACAACTCAAATCCTACAATGGTGAATTGGAAAGTGTGTATGGGGATGATGGGTGGAATCATGTTGAGATTTCATACGTAGGACCAATGGTCTTTCCACATTCATGCAAATCCAAGAAAGGAATCATTAAATGGATGGGGGTTCATGTCTACAAGAAAAAAACAACCGTGGAGGATGTCCGGTTCACAAATCCTAGGTCTCCAAAGAGAGCATATAGTGAAGTTTCCAAGTCTGGTTTGAATGGAAATTTTCAACCGTTGCCCAAAAGGAGCCGTTTATCACAAGGTATGGGAATTTGGGAGGCATCACATATGAAGCAGCATGAAGGTAATAGTGGTTATCATGGTGTATCACAGAGACTATGGTCGGCAATTTGCAGCATTGCTGCTCCTCTACATGTTAAAGTCCTAATGTGGAATAGTTGCCAAGATGCTTTGCCAACTTGTGAATATCTTTTCAGGAGGAAGCTTGTAGATAGCCCCCTCTGTCCCATTTGTGGAACTGTACCTGAAACCATTGAACATGTGTTCCTGTTTTGTCCATGGACACAACCCCTTTGGTTTGGAAGTGATTTCCAGTGGTGCATTGATGTCAATACAGTTCAAAGCTTTCAACTTTGGCTTTGCCAGAAACTCGTAGAGATTAATAGGGTATATCTCGAAAATGCCAGCCAAGCATTTGCTCTAGTGGGAAGTATTTGTTGGGCAATTTGGAAGGGAAGGAATGAATTTGTCCATGAAGGCAAACCTGTTAATCCGTTGATTTTAAGGTAGAGCGTCTATGTATATGGTGAGAATGTACAGAGCTAGGTCTTTTTAAAGTTTTAATGAGATATGTTGCTTAAAAAGTTGGAGTATAAAAAAATGTCATATCACCCTTAATTTTTATTTTTTTTCATTTGAATGACTTTTTTTTCTAATGATAAAGTGGGATTATTTTTATAAGATCTAGATGTGAAATTGAGGCATTTTTTTTTGGATCATTTTACTCTTTTCTCTTTATTTTCTATGTAGGAAGGAGAAATTTTAACCCTTGGAGAAGATGGAGACCATCAAGAGTTAGGAAGAGGAAGAAAATAGGAAGCTAAAGATCATTATATCTTCCTACGGAGTGAGAAACTTTTTATTTCTTTTGGAATAGTTTGTATATATATATAATTATATATATGTATTTTATTTTATTTTTACAGCTTTTCTAATTTTTGGTATTTATATTTCTACTATTCTCAACAAGAAGAGTTATTTTATTGATTGTGCAAAAAGGTTCTTTGTATATTTATGAAATTTTGTATAGACTTTGAAGATTTCAACTTTGATTCCAGCAATACTTACTGCAAGCGTAGAAACTTCATTTCATTGGGTTCAACATATGCCATGAATGGATTGGCAGTTTGAGAAGACAATACATCCCTTAGGAGATGTGTTGAGATTGCATTGGAAGTTGGTTGTTAGATTTCGGGCCAATATTTGTTGTTTCTTGAGTATTAGAATGCTAATGTATGAGATCTTGTGTGGTTAGAGCAAATATTTGAGTTGATGCGAGATAGTGGCGTTTGTAACAAGGTTATAAATAGTTGAGTTGAGGCGAGAATTAGACAGAGTTACTAAATCCTGCAAGCTCATTTTTAAATTCATTGGATCTTGTCTAATTCTTCTTCAACAGGGGTCCAATAGTTGTCAGATAGATTTATTTACTTTCTAGTTATTCATCCTATCATCATATCATGGTCGGGGGAACGTATTCTTGTTTTTGCATATTTGGTTCTTTTTCAAAATGAATCTAGTAGTTTATTAATCAAACTTGCATGTCCATTTTTTTTCTTCAATATTTATCATATTCGCATACCTTGTAAATGAGGAAGTGTATTCCAAATTGTTTGTCACGTTGGAGAAGTTTTATAAAGTACATTAAATGGGGTGTGTTGAATTAAGATTTTAATGAATTTTAAAAGATTTTTTTGTTATAAAAAAGTTTTGTAGTATTTAATCAAGAATCTTTTTAATATAAAAAATTTATGTGGTATTCAATTAAGACAATCAAGGATTTTTAAGAGTCTGTCTAAGTCTAGTGGTATTTAATTAAGACAATTAGAATTTTTTTAAGAATCTATCAAAATATAATGATATTCAATTAAGATATTTTTTTACTTGAAAACAGTATGTTAGTATTAAAAAATATAGAGATTTCAATGAATTATTTTGAATACTGAAATTTGTGAGATTTTTTAATATAATTTATATGTAATTAATTTATCAAATAATCTTACAAATTTTTTTGAGAGTTTACATGATTTTTTTCTATTCTATCCTTATTCTTTTTTATTTTTCCTTCTTTTAAATCTTTTCTCTAGCCTTTCTTGCTTATCTCTTTGATATTCTTTTCTCTCTCTTATGTCTTTTCTCTTTCTCTTTTTATTTATTTATCTCTTCTTCTTTTCCTATCTTCTTTTTTATTATATATCAATTGATGTATAATTTATTAATATTTATTTTTTAATTATTAAATATTTAAATGATTTTTTTATTATTAAATATATTATTATTATTAAAAATTTTAAATTATTAAAAATTAATTGTTTGTTTTTAATAAAATTTAATATTGAAATATTTATTAATTCTTAGAATGAAAATAAAGTTTTCTATTTACACTATACATTCTTAAGAAATGTGATTGAGAGAAAATTTAATATTTTAAAATCATGTTTCACAATTTTTTAGTTAGAGTCTATTTCTATTTAAGACATAAGCTAAATTTGTATTAATATGTGGTATTACATTATTTTATTTATAAAGAATGTCGTTTTCATGAATTTTCAATTAAATTAGTGGAAGAATCTTCATCTTCAATACTATGAGTAACGAAGACTATAATTTTAAATATATTTTTCAGTCTCAAGCACATGAAAGAGAGTATGTCAATTCATGGAGGAATAATATAACTTTAAATATGTGAAAAAATGTTAGTTAGGAGGACATTAAAGTGAATTATTTGTCAAAAGATAGATAATTATTTGTAAAATATAGAAAAATTGTGTTGGTTTTACGTTTTTTCTTTATTATTTATGTTATATTTTTTTATTATTAAATATTGTAGTATTACAAATCCATGTTTTTCTGTGAAATTCATAAAATGCTTTAAAATCTTATAATATAAATTCATTAAAATTTGTTAAAATCTATTAAAATTTGAATTACAAAGTCTTGATTAAAATCTAAATTTTAAAAGTCTTTTAAAAAATTCCTAAAAATTATGACGTTCTTACAAAGTCTTTTAAAATCTATTAAAATCTACAACTTTTTTATGCTAAAATTGTCTTTTGAAATCTCAATCCAATATACCTTTCTAAAGGAAGACTAATCAGTAATACTTCACCTATATATATAAAAGATTAGCGGTATTATATAACTAAAAAAGAAGCATGTTTGATTATGTCAAGATTAAGAGAAATGGAAGCAACTAAATATTTGGTAGGAGTTGAGCGTTGTATAGCTAGGAATAGTATTTGCATTTTTTCACAAAAAATAAAATTTTTAGGATGATTTTTTTTCATTGTTAGGAAAGATTGTATCACATTCTTTTAATTAATTATTATAACACTAGTTTAAATTTCAAAAAGAAATATATCTTTAATAACTTCTCTTCATAAAAACATTTTAAAAAAATGGTATAGTTGAAAGAAATAACCAAACTTTATAAGAAATAACTAGAACACTTCTTTGCAAAAACTCCTTACCAAAACATTTATGGGTAGAAGTAGTGAACACTACTTTCTATATCTAAAACATAATATTGATAAGGCCAATATTGAACAAGGCGCCTTATGAATTATGGAGGGGGAGAAGATCCAACATGTTGTATTTTCATCCATTTAGATGTGAATGCTATGTTCTCAACACTAAGAATCAACTTGGAAAGTTTGATTCCAAAGTGAACAAAGATATCTTCCTTGGATATTCAAATAATTCAAAGGCATACAAAGTCTTTAACTCTAGAACCTTTGTAGTTGAAGAATCAATCCATGTTAAATTTATTAATGCTCTAACGACTAATAGGATATTATCAGATCTAGAAGAATAATTTTCAGACTTGGAGATTGAACCAAAAAAGATGATTGGGACAGACGGAAAGGAGCAAACAATTACTGAGACTAAAAGTCACACAAATTAGTCAAATGATGCATCCATATTTCATAGAGATTGGAAATTCGTAAATTATCACCCACAAGATCAAATTTTGGGAGACAAGATTGAAGGAATTAGAATAAGGTCTTCCTTTAAAGACAATGGATCCTATGCTCTAGTCTTAGATATTGAGGCAAAGATAATAGATGAAGCACTCAAGGACAATGATTGGGTTTTAGCTATGGAAAAGAAACTTCATCAGTTTTAAAGAAATGGTGTTTGAACACTTGTTCCAAAGCTTGAAAATCAAGATATTGGAACTAGATTGGTCTTCAGAAACAAGCTAGATGAACAAGGTAAAATGGTAAGTAATAAGGTTAAATTAGTAGCTCAAGGCTACAATTAGCAAGAAGGTATAGACTTTCTTGAGACCTTTGCACTTGTTGCTAGACTTGAAGCCATTAGGATTATGATAGTCTTTGCAGCTCATAAAGATATCAAGCTTTTTCAAATAGATGTAAAAGATGCTTTTTTAAATGGTATCATTGAAGAGAAAGTCAATGTTAGACAACCCTCTTGGTTTTGAAAATCCTTTTTTCAAAGATCGTGTTTTTAAACTCAAAAAGGCTTTATAGTTTGAAACAAGCTCCTAGAGCTTGTATGAAAGGCTAAGTAGCTTTTTAACTAATAATGACTCTGAGAGGCAATGTTGACACAAACCTTTTTAGAAAAGAGTTTGACATACACCTTATAGTAGTACAAACTTATGTTGATGACATTATATTTGGTGTTACTAATGAATCTTTATGTAAGGGTGTTTTGAAGCTTATGTAGATGGAGTTTGAAATGAACATGATGGGTGAACTTAAGTTTTTCCTAAGACTACAGATCAAGCAATCAGATGAAGGCATATTCACTCATCAACAAAAGTATACTAAAGAACATCTCACAAAGTTTAAGATGAATGACTATAAACCTATGCCTACACCTATGTATCCATCTATAGGACTGTCAAAAAATGAATAAGGTAAATCATTAGATCAGAAAATCTACAGAGGTATGATTGGTTCACTCCTATATCTCACTACTAGTAGACTCAACATCATATACAATGTATGTTTATGTGCATGTGCATGTTTTCAATTTGATCCCGAAGAGTCTCGTCTTAAAGTTGTAAAGAAAATTTTAAGATATCTTGCAAATATTAATAACCTTTAGCTTGTTCTATGAGAAATCCAAAGATTTTAGGTTAACAGGATACTATAATGCATACTATGCTGGTGATAGAATTGAGAGAAAAAGAACAAGTGGAAGATGTCATTTTTTGGGTCATTGTCCTCTTGGGCTAGCAAAAAGTAGAACTCCATCGAACTTTCTACAATAAAATAAAAATACATCTCTATTTCTAGTTTTTGCTCACAACTACTAAAGGTGAAATATCAATTAAAAGACTACTCTAGTCTTGAACATAATATACCTATTTTCTGTGAACATTAGTGTTATTAATCTGTCTAAAAATCTTATACAATATTCTAAAGCTAAGCACATATAAATAAGATATCATTTTATTCATGATTATGTACAAAAAAGAGTTTTTGACATAAATTTTATTGATATTGATCATCAATGGGCTGATGTCTTTATTAAAGCTTTAGTTGAAGAAGACTTTAGATTCATTAGAAATCACCTTAACTTGAAATGCATCTCAGACTAAGAATTATTGTACATCGTCTTACATTTACTTCATCTTACATGCTTCATTTGTAATACATCATCTTATGTTGGCATGTACATGCATGATTCGTCTGACTCATTGATTTGTCATATTATTTTATTAATATATTTTTTCTAATATATCTTCTCTAATCTAAAAAGGCATCTTTTTCATTTAATACTCACTAATGCTTTTTAATGATTACAAAATGGGGATTGAGTAAAGCATGCGTGGAACAGTGGGAAGGTTAAAGATGTTGTCGAATCAAAATTAAATGACCTATTATCTTTCATTTCTTATCTTTTCATCTTACCAACCACATATTTGAAAACTTAAAACTACCTTCCCCCATAATCTCCAAACACTCAATTGCTCTTGCATTTGCTACACTCTACTTTCTCAAAAAATCCTAGAACTTCTTCTCTATAAACCACTTCTCAACCTCTCAAAAAAATGACACCCCAAAAAACCACTCGCCAAAGCAAGGTTCCCATGTAGACTTGATCCAATTGGTTAAAGATGGATTTCTTGTCTAGTACTACCTCAACAAGATAAGATGGTTGAATTTTGTAGAGCTACAGTGCAACTGGTTGTATGCACCATACGCTTACTTTTCAGCATTGATAGTGGCTAATGACAACTCCTTCGTAAGACTTGTTGAAGGCTTAGAGATAAGGATCACTCCAACCTTGATTGACACCCTCTCAAGATGCAAGAAGGTTTTATTGGAGAAAAAGATACACACTAGAAGGAGTTTGAATAGTGTATACAAAAACTCAAACTTTTGTAGTGAGGCAATGAAAATGGAAATGG